ACCCAGAGCACACTGAGAGCAACTCCACCCCAACAGACGACCACCACACAGTACAATCAGCAGCTTTTCAGATGAAACATTTTAGGCACTTGGGGCTCTATGCAAGTCCTGGGTGAAGGATTTTAACTCCTGATTTACAAAACTGTATCTGTAGTGAGCCTTCTTTTTTTTTCTTTCAGGACAAGGTGATTTACTTTCAGAAAACAAAAATCAACTGACTCTTCCATGAAAGCCTTCAGTCTATCTGACAAGCAGGTGTCAGAGAATTCTGGAGCACAGAGCTCATTTTTCCTGTGTATTTTCAAAAGGTGGGTTGTTCCCACCACCACTGTGGGTTAACAGGTAAAGGCCATCAGGTTCCTGGTCATCTGCCCGTTGAATCCCAACAGCCCGGGACTTGGCAGGCTGCCGGGAAGACCCCACCCCTTAAACCCAGCCCCTCTGGCCATGTCCCCTTCGGAAGCATGTTAGACGATGGGATGAGAGCAATCACAGGGTGAGCTCTCTGGCAGCTCCCACTGACATAAATCATGAGAGTCCTGCTGCCTGCTCCATCAAGCCACCGGTTTCCATGCCACTTGGATATGAAACAGAGTTGGTGTCACCTACATCTTAGGTGTAAGGAGTTGCTCTGGAAGTTGAGGGGAAAGATCTGGGGATAGGAAAAGAATCTGCTTGATGGGGCCCCCTGTAGTCATTACATGGCAGCTTTTAAATATATTGGTGATGCTTTTTCTGCTAAATAGTGGCTTTTTCAAAGCCCAGCTGATCTCTGCTCCAAGAACGAAGTTATTAAATTCGGTTATTGAGGCAGCAGGAAACATTGGCTTCACTGTCAGCAGATGGAGGTCCCAGGCCAAGTTCAGACAGGAACTCACATGAGTGGATCACTGGCCTTTTTCATCTGAAAAGTAAGGATACCACTTGCTTTTACCATATGCCAAATATGGTCAGGGGCTCAAACATAACAAAGGTGACAGGGCTTTGCAGCATTCAAACCACTTCACAAATATAAGAGTGGTACTGTGTGAGCTCATGGAGAACACTGAAGCCACTGAAGCCAAACAGCAGCACGCTTGGCCAGAAGTTCTCACTTTTCCCATACGTTTTCTCATGTGATCTTCACATGGCTGTACTTCAGACAGGGCGAGCCAAGAAGCCCTGATCAGTCAGCATTTAACAAGCACAGTGGTCTCTAGCTCCCCAGCACTTCCACAAGTAAGGGAAAGAGGTCATTTATTAACGTTAGAAAAAAACAGTGGCGCAGTTTATTTTAGACTTCATCTAAAGACTGAAGGAGATCAGTTTACAGCAGAATTTAAAATGAAGAGTCTCCTGAGAAGATGTGGCATGGCATCCTGCCTCAGGCAAGGTGCTTGGAGTCCAATAATACGGACGGAATCTCAGCTCTTACATAAGCGCACAGTGGTTAAGGGAAGCAGAGACTCTGGATGAAACTGTCCGGGTCTGAACCTCGCTTACTGTCACACAGACCCCTCTGTGCCTCAATCCCATCTCCTGCAAGATGAGCATATAATAGTACTTGCCTTTTTAACCTCCTTAGGGCCACGGTGAAAACTGAATGACTTAATATTTGTAAAGCACATAAAACATCTGACACAAAGTTAACAGTGTGTTTGTTAAATAAACATCTACCTTAAAGAATTCCTGGGAAAAGTAAATAAGATGTATATAGTTTGTTTAGTGATGTGATTGGAGAAAGTCATAAATTTAAAAATTAATGGATATAGATTTATATAAAGCTGAGCAGACAATTTACAGCTGACTTCAGGCCTGAGATCACCCAAAGCGACTTTCCTAGGCCTCCTGGTGTTCAAAGTGACCTAACCAAGAGAATGAACTAGGGCAGGGCGAGGGGGTATCCAGGCACAAACCACAGCACCCAGCACCGACTAAGCTCCTCAGGCATGTTGCAGGAGCACTAAGTACCTGACCTCATTTAAGTTTCGTTCCTTTTCCACAAGCTCCTGACTTCAGGACCATTTACCTTACCTACAGTTGTGACCTAGGCTCAGAGATGCTAACTAAATACTATGTCCATAGTTTCCCAGTGGCTCCATGGTAGAGCCAGAACTTAGGTCCAGACAGGCTGACTCTGAGGTCTGTGCACCAGCAGAGAGCCCTGGTTAACTGCAGTCTCCTTTCACTAACAATTTCTGAAAGTGCCAATTAATATGCTCATTGATATATACTTTTCTTGCTCTTGATCCAACTTTTAAATAAAATATAAATCCTCCCTAAACTGTGAAATTAAGCTTCTTGAGGGGAGGGTGGAACCACTGTCACCAACTGTACGCCACCTAAAACTCAACAAATTTAACAGAAATAGATCTCTGCATACCAGAATCTTATCCAATACTGTTTGATCCTGTTGAAGAAAATCTCTTTGGCCTTCCTGGAGAATTTCACACATATTGACTTACTTTCTCAGGTAGCTTCAAAAACCACTAGCAATCTCCCGAAGAAAAACAGTGGGAAAAGGAAAATAAGGGAGGAACATAGAGACTCTAACTTTACAGAAAGGGTTTGAAAGCAACACTGAAAGAAAAAACATCCTTCTTAATCCCAGCACTCTCTAAATAGACATTTTAAAAAGTTATTTATACAAATCAAAACATGTACAAACTGCCAGAAGAAATGCATTTTTTTAAACCAAGGAGGGTCTTACTTCCAGTTTTCTCTAAAATTTGAGGTTTCACAAAACAGATTTCTATGACTTTAACTGCACATAAAAATAAATGTGATAGCTTGGCCTCCAAAGCTCGAGTCCAACTAGAATAAACTGGTCCCCCCCACCACGATGGTCCTGACTAAGGATTCTGCGCCCCTCCTTACCCTCAGCTGTACTCACAAATATAATGTTAACTTTGTCTATTGGGTCTCACCTTCAGCCTTCAGCACTGGAGCCTTCCACAATGATTAAGGGCAAAAAGGGTCCTAAACAGACAATTTCTTTGAAAATAAATTCCCTCACCCTTCCTTGTGCTGGCTTACCAGACAGAAGGGAAGCTGCCCTCTCCCACCCATGGCTGGCCCCTTTGTACAAAGCCTGGGAGGCAGGTGATCCAGAGGAAGGAGAACATCTCCTTCCCCAAGTCTCAAAACACATAACCCTGCAAATGTGTCCTACTCCTTTAAAGCTCCATTCAGAACAGACCATTTTGCTTTCCCAGGAGATGCAGTAATTTTAGACAAGGTTTCTGGAAAGAAAAGACACTGCAATTAATGTTTGGTGAGTGGGTGTGTTCAGGAGGACACAGGAACTTTTAAGAATGTCCAGTCACGTCTTGACCATCTCCAACGAGGCTGCTGACTTGAAGAGTTTATATGAGACCATGAAGCCAAAGTGAAAAAAATTTCCAAAAGCAAAAAAAAAAGTGTTGAGGAAAAATAAAAATACATATTCCCTTTTTCACATAGTGTTCTGCCAAAACCCATGCCCCAGGACCACACACATTTCAAGACACCACTTCATGCTGTGTGAGCAGTCAGGCCTTCTGCAGCCCTGAAGCAGAGGCCAGAGAGGTAGCAGCAATGAGACATATTCCCTTTTTCACATAGTGTTCTGCCAAAACCCATGCCCCAGGACCACACACATTTCAAGACACCACTTCATGCTGTGTGAGCAGTCAGGCCTTCTGCAGCCCTGAAGCAGAGGCCAGAGAGGTAGCAGCAATGAGACTGGCTGAAAAGCTAACAAGGCCACACAGCCATCAGCCACTTCCAGCAAACTCTCCATGGGAAAGGAATCTCTGCACCTAGAGTGCTGTGCTCCCAGCCCCACTCCCCTCCAAATGCTCAACTACCTGGTTCACTTTGCGATGCTGACTACTGATGTCAGCATGCCACTTAGGATTACTCAATTCTAGGTTTCCTGTCCTGTGAAATGCTTTGCACAAGTTATCAGGAGATAATGTGGTCCTCACCATTTTCCTGCTTATCAGTCTTCCCTCACTGCTAACAGAATGTATTCTCTTCCATTTCCCTGTTCCAAAAAAACCTCCCACCACCAATTCAAAAAAAAAATGGGGGGGTTGGGCCTCTGACAGAATCTCTTTCAAGCTCCTGGTCTCCATGCCCCCAGGCCATGGCTCAATGCTGCATTGCCCCAGCATAGTCCTTGCACCCTTCTCAATGTGATGGCACCACCATTCTTCAGTTATCACAGTACTGTACCTTTCAGACATACAGCATCGGTACCATGATAACCGAAAAAGGACAGTTCAGTCTCATATCTATCTGAATATCTCCTCCCACCCAGCTTGTCACCCACAGATGACCACATAATGATCTCTAAGTGTACAAGCGCATGTGGCAGGAAGACACACACACTCAGTACTCAAACAGGCTGTTTTCATCAGCTGCATTTACTATCAACACGAAATGCTTCTTTCACTGTGCTATCTATAACTCAAGCATTCTGGCGAGCTGTTCTTTTTGCAGTGCTTGCTTTTGTACTCTAGCAGTCAACTTCTCTACTAATGTCCAATGGCCCAAGCTCGTCTCTACAATTGCCCTACTAGTCCAGTAGCATTATCATGAACTTTGCCTTCCTTTATCTTTTGCAGCCAGCTCATACCCTTGGCCAAAAGACACCAAATTTTACCACAGCAAGTGAGATTGCTAGGGAAAAGAAGGATAAAAAAAACTATTAACAAAATCCAAGCTATATAGAACCAGTTAACCTCCAAAATGGGAAGAAAATGTAAAGCACAGACAAAAGAGGAACTGTCCAATATACATCACTCAACTTTAATTACTTAGGAATGATAAATGGGAATGAGGGAAGAAAGGAAGGCAAAAATCCTCGTCGGTAAAAATAAACACCAGGTTAAGAGTGACAACTGCTGGCTCATTGAAGGATCAATACAAGCAGGTGCTCACAGTGACAGACTATTGAGGCATACCACCCTGGGTTATTTTGTGCAATTAGAAAATTAAACTGGACAGAATAATGAGATTGAAAGAAAACAACTTACGTGTAGGGAGAGAGTGGTCCTAATAGGACTTTCGAAACATCCTGCTGTCCAAGGGTCATGAGCAGGAGAGCCAGGGTTTGGTTGGTCGAGTCCACACATCCACCCTGTAAACACAAACACTTTAATGATTAATAACTGTACAAACCAGAACATGGAAAACCAACAAAAGAAAGGAGGAAAAAAACAGAAACACACACTCAGAATAGCAAAACCCACAGAATAGCAGACTGCAAAGTTCAAGAAATAATAAAACAGAATACAAGTCTTATAAGAGTAATCCTTGTATCAACTAACTTTAGGGAGTTAAACTAACAGTTAAAGCAATTGTAATAGCTGAGACTATCAGAATAAATGGACATTCAAATTTCCTGAAGTGAATCTAGTGAAAAATGAAACTTTCCCTCCAGCATTAAAGTAGAAGCAGGATATCATTTTATTGAGTATAAGTAAAAAAAGAAAAAAAGAAAAAGCATAATCAGCTCTAGGAGATGTATAGTTAATTCCTAGGGTTAAGCACATGATTCATATATTTATTTATCTGTTGTAAAACAACACAGTCAATCTGACATAAAAAGCCCTTTACCTTTAAAGGGTCTTCCCCTATTACACTTATTCAAATACACTCAGAAACTGCTTGCCATGCTACAAAAGGGTACTCCAAAAAGTTCATGGAAAAATAGAATTAAAAGATAACAGGGATCCAAAAATTTTTGAAGTACCCTCATATTAACTTCTCTTTACTCTTCCTGTGTGCCTTGAAACTGGAGAATTGCTAAGGTCAGATCTTTCCATTCTTATTACTTATGTATTATTTCCCCCCATTTTTCCTTCCTTTTCTTTCAAATTAATAAGCAGAACAGAATTCTCTTCAAAATCATTCTTCTGAGGCACATCTGCTTTCGTTGTCTTTTTTCTTTCATTCTTGATTTTCTCAACCATTTCAGCTGTTTTGCTTCTACTAGATGCATACATAAATTTGTGCCTTAACAAATGTCTATTTCTGATCATTCTTTGTGGGATAACTTTATTTAAAACAATTTAAACTTACACTGTACATGGTGAAAGCAGAATTTCTATATATTTTGCGCAGGTCGCAATAAGAGATCCAGTTTCTGACCATAGCACATAACTGTCCAAGACTAGACTTGGAACAGAATAGGTGGCCAACCGCTATTCATGTGGGTTCATCCCTCACATTTTTAATGCATGAGGGGTAGGGAATAAGTCAATTCTCACAGGTAGACACTCATTCCCTGGCTGTCAGACTTCATTTAGTAGCCCTGACAATGCTGTAGGAAATAAGGGGGTTTAAGCTTACTGCTAGCCTTTATGAAAATCTATTACTCTCCCTAAACCACCTAAGTTAATAAAGGACAGGAAACAATATTTATCTCACTTAGCAAATCTTAGGACAAGGAGAGTTCCTTTTCCATCCAAAAAGGAAAACCTGACCCATGGAGAATATGAGGACCAACAAAACTAACTGTTTTACAGATTTTGCTCCCTTTCATAAGACTGCCTAAAATTAAACCATTCTCTTGAGTCTCTGCTCCCTACCACTGTTGTTATTCACCATTCTCAACTGAGTCTTATGATGTACTGGACCAATACTTTAATGTAATAATGTTAGGATTCAGTGATTGTTTTACAGATTTTGCTCCCTTTCATAAGACTGCCTAAAATTAAACCATTCTCTTTAGTCTCTGCTCCCTACCACTGTTATTATTCACCATTTTCAACTGAGTCTTATGATGTACTGGACCAATACTTTAATGTAATAATGTTAGGATTCAGTG